ATTCTCATGTCTATAAAGTAAGTATGTATGTATTAAGTGATAAATAAAAAAAATTTCTCTGTGTGGTAAAAAAATAGAACATGATTTTTTTTTTAAAACCAGAGTGCGCAATTTTATGTTTTTACATATTTCATTGGCAATTTTGTGCAACTCGACGAGATAAATATATGTCAACGTATTATCAACCGCTGAGATCATAGAATTTTGTTTATTTTTTCATGATTAGACAATGATAAGTTTATTTTCCATGTTTTGGAATATAATAAGCTATTTTTAGAAAAAAAAAATATATTTTCATAATATTTCTTATCTGAATCATTTTTTGGAAAACAAATTTATTTATAAGTATAAAAAAAAATCATGAAAATATTCAATTACCAAATATTTAACCCATAGTAGAAAAAACATGGTACTGTACATAAATACGTCTTTTATAGACGTTGTAGCTTTTAATCCAGTATTTTGGAAATTATTAACACTTAAGAAAAAAGGATGGAGATGAAGTGCGGATATGATCATTTTTATTTTTAAACTTTTGAATCTCTTTTCGCCACAATGCAAAAATATTTATATATTTCAATACAATTTATCAAAAGTTGTTATGGATCAGTCATTTTCTTCATGAAATATTTTCTTTTATTTGTAAGCTAGGTAAACATCAGGATAATAACATGTATGTTTCTATTTAAAAAACATGACTCAATTTCTATAATTTCTAAATATTGAACTATATATGTCTGTGTTAATTAAAGTGCATAGAATACTAATAACTTCAAAAAAGAAAATATTGTGCGAAACATAGTGCATCAACGAGAGATTGATTAATCGTTGACTTCTTAATATCTTCTAAAATAATAATACAATTTTAAAATCTTTTGTTTTGGTTTTAAATATTATTTATTTATTGATTTTTATAGTAACTAAATATTGTTTAGGTCTATTTATTATTTATCCCTTATAAAGATATCAATTTTTTTTTAAGGAAACATATATTACATATAAAATTATTTTATAAAGAAAATAGTCTAATTTAGAAAATAACTGGACAATAACTAGCTAGTCAACATTATAAATGTTAAAAATTTTTTATTAATAAGTCATTTTTTTAATTAGAACATTTTATAATGTTGAGTTAATTGTATATATTGACTAAAAAAAAAAGTTTATGCCTTTCTGAAGTATAGACGTAAAAAATATTTAAGTAATTATAAATTTAGAGATAAAAATTCTTAATTAAACAAAAAATAACGAAAATTTTAAAATTATTATTATTATTTTCTGAGACATTTAGCAGCTATTCATAAATAAATTATCATGTATACATTTGTTTTGTATATATAATTTATATCATATTTTAAAGTTATAATAACCTAAAAATCTATATGATCAATATAATTTAAAGTAATTATATATATTTTTTCATATTTGTTCCTTAAAATTACAATTTTACAGAAAAAACTAATAAATATTTTAAAAATATGAGAATATCATATGTTACAGGGCTAAAAATAACAATGTAATTCGGTCCAAGTTGTGAGCAGTGCATAGACTGTCAGTTATTGTTATACGTATAAATGGCAAGTTTTTTAGAATATGTAAGAGTGTCTACTACACTAACAAGAAATCAATTAATCAAGATTGGATTATGTTTACCTAATTATTCTCTGTATCACTACGCATTTTTTGAGCTATTTAATGGTAAATGTTAAAGAGTTAATTATCCTTAGAAAGATAAATAAATTGATTCAATTCTGTTAAGCCTTTAATAATAGAGTAATTTAAATGGTAAATTAAACAATATACCTGTTTATTAAATCTTCATAATATAAGATATTATGCAGATTATTATTTTTTAAATTGTTATATATTTACTATAACATAGTGAATATATAACAATTAAAAAAAAATGCTTTAATGAATCATGATAGCATTTATTTTTTTAATTGTATATATTTTCTGTTCGATAAACACTGTAAAGTATTACATTGAAGCCTATTATTTTGTTAATCTGTGAGTGTGACCGATAACATGTTATTAGACACTAAAGTGCTGCGTTTTAATTTCAATTTTACAAATTTTAATTTTTTTCATACAAGAGTATTAACACTAAGCATTTTGTTAAAAAAATGCAGTCATTATCGTCTAAATTTAATGTATTTCGGAATATTTTAAATTGTGCTCATGTGCACTAGACCTGAAATTTTCTTCTTTCGTAATGCATCTAAAATAGGTACATTAGTTAAAATGATGATTTGTGAGTAATAAACGATTCACTGACAAAACGAACAACGAAAAAAATGGCATAGACGTTTTTAAGAGGTCTATTATAATTAAAAAAAGACATATATGTAAAATGAGTAAACTAAGCAATTACCTTAATTTGCTTTAAAGTATGAATATTTTTTAATTAAAGTATATCGTTGGAAATTCAATTTCTAGTTGGTTAATAAAAAGATTTTTTGACTGATAATGTCCGTGTCTATATATTGATACTCTTAAGTCATTTCGAAGTGAATTATTAAATATTAATAAAAATACCCTGTTCAAAATTTAATATTAATTAAAACTTTTATATATTTGATTACTACTCTATTAAATTAAATATTTTTTCTTTTATTATTATTATTTTATTTAATAAATTTTATTGTGTAACTATAATATAACTAAAAAACTCGTTCTCATATAGACATAATATATGCTTATACAGTATGTACAGAGTGATCGGTTTATTATAAACCATACGATTACTCGCAAAATAAATACAATAATGAGAAATTTTTTTTAGTTACGTATATTTCTTCATTTATCAGCTATAAATTACTTTTTAGAATCATCCCTTATAACTTATAGGGCTGTCAGCTTTAGTTTTTTAAACGATAACGTACACAATTCACCAATTTATCTAGTAGATAGTGAATCACTGTCGATGACAACTTTGGGACCAGCATTTCAGAAGTTATTAACACTTAAAAGTTATGACTAGAGGTAAAACACAGGTGCAGCTATTTTTATCACTACTACTTTCCCAGCCATACTCTTCCTATCGTCTAGGTATAAAAATAAGAATAATTTCCTAAATATTGGTCCGACAATTGTTATGGACCAGTTATTTTCTTATTTACTTCATTAGCTATTAAATAAGCTAGTAAATTATATACGAGGCCATATGAAAAAATAAAGTTGACACCTCTATAAGTTATAAGGGATGATTCTAAAAAGTAGTTTATAGCTGATAAATAAAAAAATATATGTAACTAAAAAAACCAAAAAAATTTTCTCATTATTGTATTTATTTTGTGAGTAATCAACTGGCTTAGGATAAACCGATAACTTTGTATACATATATATATATATATAATAATATACTATTATTATTAAAATATTAATTTTTATCAATGTACCGTGTGTTAAATAATTAAATGACTGTATATAATATAATAACGTTAAAAATATTATTTAAGCAATTCGATTAAAGGCAAATCAATACACAACCAAATATATGTTTGCTAGGATTTTATACGACAGTAAATAAATTTAAAAACCAACTCTCTTCAATACGTTTTTTCTGTTAATGTATTTAAGGTAAATATGATATAAAAATTAATAATACTTAAATGTTGTTAGTATTTTCATTGATGTATAATGGCTATTGATTTATTATTAATAAACGCGTTTATTAATAGTAACTGTAATTTTATATTTATGAATAATTAACGCCCAACCAGCATAAAGTACTGTTTTAAATGAACTTTTTATATAAAATAAATTTAGAATTAATCACATATTATATAATTAATAAATTATAATATTAACAACAATTAATGTTAAGCTAACACAAGAATTATAAAACTTTACAATATCTAATAAGAAATTATTACATGTGTACTAATATTATTATTTAAAATTAAACTTTTAGTTATTAAAATTAAAATATCTTATTTGTAATAACTAAATAAATGGTTGGGTGGTGTTTCACCCAAAATTCAGTTATTCCAACTGTCTTAATTACAGTTGTCACTATATTGATAATTTATATGGATGTTGTAACCTCATTTTTTTCTGTGTACTGTTATAATAGTGAGATTATTATTATTCTTTTTATATTTAAACTTAAAAGTCTCATTATTCCGTGAAAATGATGTTTTTATTTTTAAATATTGAATTCGATAAGTCAAATGTATTAAATCATTGCTGACGCTGTCTTGGCGAGCAGGGAAAGTGTTTCGGGCCTAGCGCATCATAAGACACCGCATATAGCAGTGTCGTAGTTAGGGTTTTATATTTTTAATGTGGGTTATATATTCTATTAAAAATTAAAAAATATACAGATTAAGACATTAATTTAAAATTATAAAATCTGAATGGTTTTTAAACAACTTAAATTATAATTAAAATCAGGACACGTCCGTGGCCCATGAGCAGAATGAGTCCGTCAAATTTTTACTAGCCTGTCGTGATTTTTATGATTTGTTTTTTTGGCTTATCACTTTTTTATAGTAGCGATTTTTTCTTTAGGAGGAGTCCGTTTCAAGATACCGTCTCGAAGCCCATATAGAGCCCACTTCCTATAGATATCTTTGATTAATTAGTTTCAACATAACGTTACACATTGTTAGAGGTCTAGAAGTGTTCAACTGATTGTCATGTCAACAGTACTGTTGACATATTGACACACAAATATTATTCGTGTACTATTGAACGCACGTCCTTCTCATTTCACGTGTACGAGCCCCGTCGATGTTCTAATGTCATAGGCGTATTGTGAACGCTACCGTAGTGGGCTGTCGATAATTCCCATTCCGGCCGGTGTCTTCTTCCGGCGGCGGCAGGGGAAATTTGCCGACTACCGGGTGTCGACACGGCGGAATGGTGTCGGGCCGCCCGGCTACCGGAGGGGATCGCGGTCGCCGCCCAGTAGGCCGCCCATTGGACGCTGTGCTTCCCCGCCGGCCTTCCGTTAGTTGCGACACCAGACGGTTCTAAAAAAAATCTCCTCGTCTGCCGACGATCAGTCTCGACGCGCGCAAGCCCGTGAACGTCTGCTGTCGTTTTGTTAACGTATTCCGCTCCGTGCAGTATTGACGCCACGAACTGCAACCGGTACGTTGTCGCAAACCCTCCCTCAAAATTTTGGTGTCGCCCGCTAGAGCATGCGCCCCGTACAGTAGTCGTGGTACACGCCGAACGGTACGACTCAACGTCATCGCTTACACAAACGTATAGACCTAGTTAAGGGCCATAGTAACGACATCTGAATAATGTTTAAGCGCTTTACCGGCTAATTAGTTTTGTTTGTTGCTTTTTATTATTATCGTATCAATTCAGCCGAGGAACTAAAAACCAAGTCGAGGCTCAATCCATCACAGTAAGTTTACACAATAATACACCATATGAGGTTAATATTGACCTTTTAATCGTCATGCGACTCCGTAGTTGCTCAGCGATCTATACCTTCCAATTATTGGATACAGTGCTAATTAAAAATAGGTAAAATTTTACAATCCGTAAATAGACCACTGAACGTACGTTATCTTTGTTTTTATCATAATTCGTTTTTTTTTAGTCCAGTAATGGCATTTATTTGAGCCCATTACCAATTAATAATAGAACGGCCTTCACCATTAGACTCGGGTGACAAATTTTCACTCGCGTCTGTATTGTATAAATAAATTGGTATTTAGAATTTATCAATATATTCGTAATGGTACAATTTATTTTAGAATTGTCGCAAGGCTACCACAACATTGGCTATTAGCGACATTTTGAGTTATTTATGTTTATTCTATTTTAACAAAACGCTAATGCACTTAAAAATATAGTACGATTATAAACTCGCTGGTTAATAGCTCTTAGTAGCCGACTAGACGATAATAAATAATTGATTTATATGATTACGGAATATTTTTAAATTAAACTTTATTTACTCATTGGTTTGTCCACTGGGCAATCATTACTGAAACAATAATTAGAACGACCGTTAAGATTTTATTTTTAAGCCTTAGCGCACTTTGTTAATAATGTTTACCAAACTTATTACTTATTAATAAATACCTTGTTGAAAATTAAGTTAAAGATTATATTTATCTTTTTTATTAGATAGAATTATAGTTTTATTTTAAGACATTAACTCTAATTTAAACTCTTTGAAAAAATTGAAAAGTCATTTACGCTACTAGGGATATTTTTAATTCCTAGTAGTTGGGTAATTATTGATTTTAAAACAGTAATAAAAATAAATAATTATTTTTAAAGGAAATTAAAATAGGTTGATCGATTTTTATTGAAGTTATTTATGAAGAGTGTAAAAAACTTCATTAAAATTGTTTATCTACTCAAAATTACACGTATTTTTGAGTATTTGTTATCAATAATATATGACTCTCTACACTTAACTATAATACTAGATTGTTAGAAATATGTTTATGTAAGTGTCTGCTGTAAATTAAAAACAACTAATAATTAAAAAAATAACTATTGTAGATAACCTTTGAGTTTTTAATTATAAATTTGAGTATTTAAATTATGAAAATATATCACGTTGATGTATTATTAAGCGTAAAAATATATATTTGGTTATTTTGAACATTTGCGACGAATAATAAAATAGTGTGTTAATTATTATTTATATATTAGTCATAATAATATCTATAGGAAACGCATAAATATACAGTTAAAAAGTATTACATAATATCGTATAACATAAAAATATTACTAAAAAATAGTATTTGGTAGTACGTTAATATTTAAAATATGTCTACTTTCGTTAATGTTTTGTAATTTTTGTCAATGATTTCTTATGTTTTCAGACTATTCATTTTTTTCTCGATACTGATTTAAATAATTTACTGGAAAAATAATAAATATGAATTATTATCTTATTGTAAGATATAAATAGTCCGCATAAAAACGATGCATAGACGTACAAATTGGTATTAATAATCTGTTAATAGTGTAGTCCGATTATTTATTGTAAACGTTACAGTTATGTTTGATCAGTATAATGACAATTCTTGAACAATGATAAAATTATTGGAAATATTTAACCCATAAGAGCGAATATAAAATATTAGTCGAAATGTATAAATAGAAAGATATTTATTTTTCTTTAAAATTTGGTTGGTTCAATAAATAGTGTAGTAATTTTTTTTCAGTTATATGAGCCAAAAGCTAGTGATCGACAAGGGTTAAAAAATTAGTATTTATACCAAATTATTCGTAATTTTTGTTTTCTTTTTCTTAGCAAAAACAGCGTAAATGTTCTAGATTTTATGATAAACGTGCTTAAATATATAGCAGCATCAGTCATGCACTAAGTAACTTACAGTAACTGACTATAATCTACACTTAAGTCGCCTAGTATTGGACCATTTAGTTTTTTTTGTTATTCAATCATCCAGTAAAAATACAAGATTATTCAGAAAAATGTATCCCTCTCAAAACTGCTATTTTGGCGCTTATTGGTTTTTTACTTAGGCAGGCTAAAGTAGTCGGATATTAATTAAAAAATATTTTTTCCAAATAAAACTATGATATTTTTCTGCATTTTCTCGAAAATAAATAATGATTTATATTTTAATCGTAGATTGTAAAAAAAAACTATCTAAAACAAATATTATGTTGTTTGATTATATATTATTTTAATAATAATATGTATTTTTCGTCAATTCATTTATTTTTCATTAAAACAATTCTAACGATATATTCAATATTATAAAATATCATAAAATGATTAATGTAATGCGAATTGATTTAAACAATGACACTTTAATAGATTTATGTAGTAAAATAATAATGTAAGTGAATTTATGTATAAATATAGAAATAAAATACTATCTGTACTTGTCTTGTTTCTTTTGATTTGAGAAAGAAATTAAAGTGCTTTTTTATAACCATTTAAATATTATTATTAAGCAAAGTATTGCTGCGTTGCGGTAAAACATGTAGTCCAAAGAGCGACACAGTCGTGATAACCTTGTAAACTATTTTGAATATTAATGTTCGTATAATATAACTGATATTTATTACACATGCGATATGCGAATATTTAATCGGTTCATTTTGATGATGTCCGACGCGGTGGTCGTGTTAGCAATCACATATTTTGTAATTTTTATAGATGTAAAATAATAATAAAAACTTTAAAAGGAAACCAGTTAATGTTTTTAAATAGGGTCATAAAATAATAATAAAAATACATTATTACTACTTTATTTAAATATACAGTATATTTTTGTACGGTAGGAGCGGAGCAAAGATGTAATACGAGATAGATGTGTATTTTTAATGTTTTTATCGAAATTATATGACATTTATATTAACGTTGGCAGTGCGTGCGGTGGGTATAGGACGCTCACGCAAGGTGTGAAAATAATCGACAGATAATCCTATAGGTTATAGCGGTCTTACTTTTCGGCCCTTTACACATTATACTTTTTATCAACCCTAAACATTTACCGCGCAGGTGTACAGATGTTCTCGAGTAACGAATTTCAAAACTGCCCAAAAACAATTTAACCCTTTTTACAATAATAAGAGCGTGTGCCGCGAGTACCTTACAGTTCAGTTATTAATGGCTCCGGTGTTTATTTATTGAACAATGGACACGGAAATATTACCGAGGAGAAAAATTGGTGTGGACACAACGGTAAATTATCGTTAACTCGGTTGTTTTGTCGTTGATAAATTTCAGTTGAAATAAAATCGAATGCATTTTTCGTTTTACACGGTTAGGTACGTGTCGGAATAGTTACAGGTTTTATTTCCACTAATAACACACAGCGATTCGTTAATAACTCAAATGTGACCAATGAAATACAAGCGCAACGAGCTTATTAAAAGTTCCCATTGTTTTTAATCACATCTACTCTGGTGCCCGTTGTTAATAATTGGATATCATTTGAGAAAAATCAAATACCCGGTGGTTCCAGTCAGTTTAACCCGTACGGTTTCTCGTTGTTGCCGGTCGAGCGTTGTTCTTAAAAAACGCCCGTATGGAATAATATTATGCGTCATAAAAAAAAAAAACTCGCCAACAAATGGGAAAAAAATTAACGTTCGGAACTACATACAGCAATGTACGTTAACTAATCGTCATATTAATAAGGCGAGACGGGAGACCCGGTCGTAATTTTTTTTTATATACTTTTCGGTCTTTGCACGGAAAATGTTTGTTGAAATATTAATATTTATAAATTTTATATCTTTTATTTCCTTTTAGGGCCAAAGAGATTGTTATTATTTACCCAAGTATACGAACACATGTACTTTATTTTATTTGTTATGTACATCAAATGTGACCGTATGGCGTAGAAAGAGTGGTGGTTTTACAGGAAAAAAACAATTTTTCTTATGGTTCAGCATACGCCTAATGATAATAAAAATTCGTTTAACTATATATCACATATAAAAGTAGGAGATTATCAAGGGAATTTTAAGTAATAATTTCGAGGAAAAAAACATGAGAAATTGGTAGTTGTAAAAATGGAATCTTACATTTTTTTGAATATATTATAACACGAGTATTGCATTCGCATGATTAGTCATAAGGTATAATTAATTATTATTATTATCCAATATGTAAAAATATTCTGGCTTTTAGTTATAGTCGATAATATATGAGGACCAATCCTACGGTGTGACGTATCAATAACTTTTAATAATCTGCGTTTTACTTTTGTCAAGCGAGAATGACTTAAAAAATTGTTTTGCATTATGAAAATTATTTCGTGTGTTTGTGACGATGTGTTTTCAGTTGTCGTTGGATTGTTTGTAAGTAATAACAGCCGTCCGACTGTGACAAATCTTATATTGATGTGCGATAAAGAACTCAGTGTCTTGTCGATTTACCAGTTATGCCCTCCTAATAGTATTCGACAAGATTTCTTTTCTCATCTTTTAACACACATTCATATATCGTGCGTCGTTACCTATAAAATAAAAAGTACCACGACCGGTTACTATCATAACTGCGCGATTTAATAAAATCGTAATAATTGTTACAATTTCAGTAAAATAAAAGTGGATAACAAAAGGAATATTAACGCTCTTTTTTATAACAAATGTTTTTGTTTTTAAAAGTCATAAATGTTATGTTATATAAGTACTTAAAATTCATGCAATTATAATTGTTTTGACAATTTAAACACAGCACATTTTAAAATGGTGGAATAATCATTCTTGATTAATAGTCATTAATAATTGCACGAAATATTAATAACTAGGACATCGGTTTTTTTGTTTTGCTTTCAAATCAAATTAAATGAATAAAACAATTTAATTATAACTCTCATTTATTTAATTTCATTTATAGAGAAAGGATAACGAGTAAGTCTAAAGTATTTATTCTAAGGTATTTTGATAGCTTTTAATTTCACAGTCTGCAGGAACACAATTGTTGATATAAAACACAAAATAAAAACTTTTTGAATACCCACCTAATTTAATGGATACGTTTAAATAACTAGTAGAAAAAAGCTTAAAAGTTGCGTCATTTTATTTATGTAATTTGTTTAAAAATTTTAATTTAAATTAAATTTATTAATAGCGTCTATATTGAAAATTGAAACTATTCGTCTTTGAGAATTAAAATTAATTAAATAATTGCTGTCATTAGTGTTTATTGTTAATACGATACTGCTTAATTTGATTTTTATTTTAATTAAATTAGATTTTAGATTTTACTGAACTAGTTTGTACATTAGATAAACTAAGGTTTTCTAGAAATGTTTAAGTAGGCTAATCTTGAATTTGTGTTATCATTGTTTAATGTTTTTATTTTTTGGCTAGCTAATTAACTAATACATTTGAAATGCATTAGAGTTATTTTTGTTAATTTAAGTTAATATCGACTGTACAGTCTTTGGTAAATAAAACGGTACCTTATTGTTTTATCAAAACGGCGGTCCGGAAAAAGGATATGCAAAGCTACAGAGATAACCTTTTTATATCATGGGTTTTTTATCGTGATGGGAGCACGGACTATGCGCTCTTGTTAGTCGAGTAACACCCGTTGACCTCACCCACCTCTATAAGGGCCTTTTACTATACAAAAATACACATCGACCAACTGATAGCGCACCGTATCCATGATATTCTCGTTTATCTCTGATAACATATTTTAACGTGTAAAAATTGTTATGTCAAAGTTCGGTCATTTCTAATCAATATCGTTTGCTTTACAGAGGTTCGTCGCAGTCGGGCTGACGTCTTGAAACGGTGCCAATCGCATCATTACAGGATTAACGGCTTTCGATGCAAACGTAAAACAGCAGCCCTCTCATGTCTAAGGCACAACTAGGATCTCCGCAATAGATACCCAAAGCCAGCAGGTCCGGCGGCAAGTTTTTGCAGGCACGAACCGTTACACTCAAAACAGCGCTTCAAATTGGCAGCCCTGATGGGCGTGTTTGAAGACCTGGCCAATCAGAAACCCGGAATGCATTGGGTGAGTACTTTTAATTTGCCAACTTTTCTAACGTGTTGTCGTTAGAATTTACCACGACGTCGTCCGCTCTTGAGAGTTGTACACGTAGTTTGCTAACTAATAACAATTCGCCTTTTCAAAACACTTATGTATGTGCAGTCCAGTTCAAGTGTAAACCACATCACTTTTCTCAAGTATTTACCATTCATGCTACTGTACTCCACATTTTTCAACTCTAGTGGGCCCGAACAGTCTTCGGGTCTCGCACGGATTCGAATTAATCCTCGAAGTTATGTATTAGGACCGTACACAGATGTTTCGTACTCTTTAATCCTCGCGCCTTGTAGGGAAGCGAATCTCACATGGACATCCGACACAGAGAATATACTCTCGATAGCGTTTCCATCGTACACAACATTAAGATTAGCCTGGTATATTGTTGTAGGTCATACTACGTGTTGGTTTGTTTGCCTCATTGTCCGAGTTTACCAATTATTCAAATCTCCATCGTTTTCATTTTATTGTGTACGCCGCACACAACAACCAAACAATATATATAATAATATTAATACGCGTTTGTGTATACTCACTCGAATGCGTTCGATAGCACATAATAATAACAATAATAATATAATGTAGTGTACGTCTGTATTGTGAACCTGTGGAGGCGATGGGAGGAGAGAAAACAGCTCAGTGTTCACACCAAACAGACCGGCATAATGCGATTTTGTGGTTTGCTAATCCTCTTGTTATTTTCGAAATTCGAGTGTTTCGACGGTGCAATCGCAATATGAAAATGCGAGCATTGAGTAGGCCCAACGAGAGACATTGTTGGTTTTTTCTTCTATGCAATTTCGGGGAAATTAAACGCGAACCGGTCAAGTACTGTCGTCACCCAACGAGCAAAGAGAATGTCCAAGTGCATTAGCCGTGAAAAATTCGTAGCCAACGACGGCGTTGAATTGATCACATAGCTGCGAGTATTAATATTACAAACGGTTAATGCCATTCGGAAACGACAATATCAAGTATTTTTTGGGTCTTTTATGGCTGAATAAAAAGTGAAAAAAAAAAGTCGTGACTTCTGTATTTAACCTACACCGGCTTAAGGAAGTATTTAGAGAGGGGGAATAAAAAAAAAAAAAAAAAAAAAAAACTGTCCGACCATCTTCAACTGTTATGTATAGTAATAAAGTAGTATGTACGCTTGTCAATCGACAATAATGAATTGAGACGTTGTATAAAAAAAGAGATGGAGATATTATCGTGTATTGCCGAATTATCAGCCAGTGTTTATACGACAGCCAAAGTGGAGAATTATTAATGACTTTTTGTCTCGTGCGTATTATTTAATGACGAGTTCATTACGGTGTGGAGATTGGCAAAAAACAAAACAACTTCCTTTTAAACGAAAATAACTAGGTATGGTCTAGAATAAATTTTGTTCTAGACTATACTTGGTTATTTTTCGTACGTTTTAATTTTACATTTCCGGCCGCGTGTCAAGATTATTTCGATTTCTACAATCGAAACTCTTCTAGAAGGTGGTTATCAATAATTTATTGGACGCGTCTAATGACTATCTCGGTGTCTACACTTATTGATACTCGTTAGCAATTGTTTTACAATAACGCATAGATGGGCGTATACGACTCACAGGTGACCTCAGTTGTAATATATTTTATTTGTAATAGCAACAAAGGTCTATTGCAGCAGAACGATCGTCGTCCGACATCTGTCTTCACCCTATTCGAACCGACGTACGGCAAGAGCGACAGGGTAAAAAAATAGGGGCATTCACACAATAACCACTCGATATCGTTCCGTTCGTACCTATTAACAAACTCGGCAGGGCGAATGATTTTTGTTTTCTTGTATTTCGAGTCCGCTGTAAAACGAACCGTGTCGTGTTGATTTTGCGAATTCGGTAGCGCAATAATAACAATAATACTGACATAACAAAACACGCGCATGTGTCTACCTGAAACGTGAAGTGTCATCTTATCTTATCGTTAAGAAGTCGGATGACCACTGTATGTCCGTCACCGGACACTGTTGTCGCGGGACCAACGTGTGAGGCCTTTGAACAATTGAAGGATTACCTTAATGTATTATTTTTATACCTCCCGAACGAATTGTTATCATTTTCGGGTCATCTCTTCAACACATCGTATACTGTGGGTCTGATTACCCTCTTCGGAGATTCGCAAGTATTACGTATGCAATTTTCACTGGACATTTTGTGTTTTTATAATATCGTTGTACATAAATTATTGAGGTCGCCTGAGACTTTTTTTTTTAATAATAAATACGTTTTTTATTTTTTAGCAGCATGACCGCCACCATATGTTGGTCAATCCGTACGATCCATCCAGAGATCAAAGTCCGAACTTACCGACTACTCCGTGTAGGGAACAAGAACAGTTGACGAGCGTTTACGGCGGCCATGGACAGTGCTGCGCGTTCAAATCCGAGTTCGATGACGATTGTCCGGACTGCAAAGTTCCTCCACCCCCAACCGCGTCAACGGTGCTCGGGAATAGTTACAGGAGTGGATCGCTGGAAATGTCTTGTAAACTCGAACGAGATTGTGCGTTCCAAGGTTCGTCACCAGGCACGGGGTACGGAAGTCCCGAACCGTCTTCGCCCAGCGTGTCATATACTTACGAGTCGCCAGATATGATGGTGGCACCCAAACAGGAAGAGCCCGAGGTAAACCTGTGTGACGGCTGTGGACAAAAAATCCTGGAACGTTACTATCTTTTTGCCGTCGAAAAGAGATGGCACGCTTCCTGTCTTCAATGTTCCCAATGTTCTCAAACTCTAGCCGGCGAGCTCAAGTGTTTCTACCGGGACGGGAACATCTACTGCAAAAGTGACTACCAAAGGTGAGTTGAAATCGTTGTCCGTACTATAAAACGTCGTGCGTTCTGAGTCCGGTACGCGCATACTGTACATATTATTGTTATGTGGGCACATTCCGTGGTAATTATTATTACTCGACAACGTACTGACGGTGATAAATTCACGGTAGCAACTATCGGGACCAATTAAAAGTGCGTCGACAGCGCCGCGACTGTGTTCACCGCAATACCACCGTATCTGGCATTCGACCAAACGCCGCGTGGTCGTCCTGTGTGTCCTCCGACTCGCTGCGCCGTAGCCGTTTGGTAGTGCTCTTCTTGGGTCGGCGCGCGTGCTATTGCCCGTTGTCGTCGTGATCGTTACTAACTTTTTGCACACCGTTTGTGTAGATCTTTCCTTAGACTCGTGGCAATCGACTTTTTTCGAATTAGATGTATTAAGTCTTCATGACTCTCTGCGCACAACTCCATCGGGACGGTGACTTGCACACGGAAAATATACCTCGTAGTTTAAGGAACCAACTCGTATAGTCGGGCCAATCGTAATTCAAGTTGGAACTACTTAGTAAATTTAACGAATTATTTTTTATAGTTACGCCGTCGCTAATTAACCATAATATGTCGGTTGGCTCGATAATTTCTCCCGTGCGCGTGTACGAGTAAAACAAGCGTTAGCCTAGTAGTTTCGAGTCTTCACTCTTAGAAAATATTCGTGGAAAATTCAATTCGAATCGTTGGCCGTGAGTTTTGCGGCGTTCATTTGTTATTTGTCAACGGTGACATGTAATCATCGTGTTTCGGGCGGATCGACAGTTACAGAGGTGTAACCGTTGAAAGAACCTCGTCAGTACCACCGAGGCGTTCCCGCGTTACGTTTGATAAGGTGACGACTGAAAAACGAACGTCATCGGCGGCGCTCGTACGCAATCATAGTGTTGGCGCAGTTGTCGACTGCCGCCGAACGGTGCGCTTTATTATGTGTGCGGGTCTTAATTATCACTAGGAACGTTACGTCAAAATCACATTGCGCCGGTACGAGAGAGAAAATCAGACGATCTCGTCTCGTGGTCTCTTTTGTGCCTTCGTGTCTCTGCAAAAGGTCACTCGTCACGGACTGACTTGGGGTTCGGAGAGCCTCTTTGTACGAGATAGGCATGGGAAACTCGGCACAACGAAATTTACCGTCACGTAATACTTCATACATATATACACACACACATTAAAAAAAGAACCGACTGTAGCGAAAATCGCCCAATCATCGTACGCCGGCTCTTTTTATCTCTCTTTAGTCTTTCCTATCCGTCTACGCCGCAGCCGCTTATCGTCGTTCGTATCGACTTGCCGCCTCGTCAACCGTCTCGGGCTTCCTGCGGGTACACCTACTCGCACATATTACTACAGTGTCTCTCGACGGAACTGTACTGCAAGAGGCGCCCCCAGCACAATAATAATAACAACTGCAGTAATAGCTACCCTGAGGTTTAACAAGTCGTTGGGTCTCGACGTCGGACCCGCCCAAAATGCAACCGCACATATATGCGTAACAACAATAATACTCGAACAATTATCGTTTATTACGTTTTATTGCGTCGTACGACGACGGGTTTATGCGGCAGAAGATTATTTTCGTCAATATCAATCGTCGACAATCATTTGAAAAGCATTTTTTTGTTCATAATTGTTAACCGCCTCCGTTGAGATATACCGCAGCGACCGTCCGGTAGGTTGTTGGTTTTTGTCGGACGTCTGATTCCTTTACAACATAATTTAACGTGTCAAACACGCGCGTGTGGTCTTTCACTTCGCGCGCTCTGTTTGATAACAATAATAATAATAAAAAACTACAATAACGTATTAATGTATTTAAAAAACAATGAGATCCGCTTGTCGTTTCGCCGTGCACCTAGTTCGCCGCAGGTGTTGCGCGTGACGGGGTGCCGCAGGCGATTTATGTCTCGCTCGTTTAAGGCGATTATCAGTCTTGATTGAATCTTCTCAACAAAACCAGCGCAATGACCCTCGGCCATATTTTTTTTCGATGGAATAAAATTTGACGAATATAATTCATTTTTTAAACAAAATCACGAGAAACAATCGTCAACATGCTTAATAACGGACTGCGGACCGTTAACACCCACGGTGACCAAGCACAACCGGTTTCTTTATACGTTCATTGGTTATTTTCTGTTGTGACTACAGTAATTATACATCTGTTCATAGTGTCAAAGCCGATCACTCGTATATTCATAAGATACACTTGCTATAGATGAACATTGTAATTGAAATGTGTTTTTTCCAGAAGCGAATTGTGAATTTGGCGGTCGAGTTTCACCCGATATGATTTGTATGCGTAAAAAAAGATATGTCGTTTGAACCGTAAACGTTTCGATCGATGAGGTCGTGTTCTTATTTTCGTACGTAATAGTAGCGAGTCAAATGAAGCGTGTCCTTTATTGAAACTGACGTTCGATGTTTTTTAACGACAGGCTGTTGAAGCTACCAAAACGCCGCGAGGTCTGTTGATACGTTAATCTTTTTGTGACGCGTAATATTATTACATACTTTTATTATTCACGATCTTACACGTGTAACGTGCGGGAAACAAGTTAAAATGACGAAGTAAAGGAGGTAGACACTTATAATCGTGGCTTGCGCAATAAATTTGAAATTAAATTTATGTGGACATTCTCACAACAACAACAAAAAAAAAAATAATAATAATCGTAAATTCATTTTTGGGGGGGTAGAAATGGATGAAAATAATAAAAACGGAATGAAAAAAACTCGATAATATTAATATGACATTGATTTTCAAATGTAATTAACTGTCAAATTTACCACAATGATTACACATGGTTTAAATAAAATTCGACGATGACGTTCGTTGAAAACCAACAAAAAAATGTGCCTTGTGCATAAGAGACGAGGTGCTCTATAGACACCTGGCCAACTGACCGGTGTTAAATCTTTCGACTGCCGCCGCTGTGCTCGTCGGTTAAACCTTCTGGACGGATGACCTAATCTACCCATCGCGCCCCCCGTCGCGTTTCCCTTCTCTTCTATGGCGATATGATCTCGAGCGCGTGCCGCCGCCACCTCTTTCACGAGTTACGACGTTATGCCTTACGGTATTAAGATAATGTAATAGAGTGACACGTAGGAATGCGATTTGGGTGCGAGATTAGGAGTAAGCGAACGTTACAACAAAGGCGATAAAAAACACAATTGGTACACGCAGATTAATAATTACGCGGTCGCCAATTCAACGCTCTTATCATAAGAGAAACGTTAAAAAACGAAACGAACGCACATCCGACGTCGATTTACTCGCGTTAAACGGTTGCCCATTATTTTATCAATCCGTGACGTGACGAAAACACTTTACAGTACGTTTGTCCGTCTCGGTAACTAACTCCAGCGGATTTTCTTCTTAATTTATCATAAAAAATACTATAAATACGCATTTCGACAGCTCGTCACGAATAACAGAGGTGCATATCGACAGATGTACACATAGTCTAGACGGTACGCATGCAGATACGTGTGAATCTCTGTGGCGATGGTTATCTTTGGTGCTAGGAAGCCGGGAATTCGTGAAGGCAGTAGAACAAACTGGTCGAACCATCGAGATGGAAGAGTGAGAACTGCTAGTGTGTGTGTGTTGGACAGACTACCAAAAACGATTTTCACGAAGTGTTCGGCCACCATATTATACAACATAACGTCTCTATACGCAACGCAGCGTCTAATTAACACCGCGGTAATAATATATATTTGGAACAATGCGGTTATATACACTCGTGGCTTCCTATTGTTGTTGTGAACTCGATGCGTCCGGAACTTCGCAACGAAAGATTCGACGGCAACACGCCGAGTCTTGAGAAAAAACGCGATGGTCGCAATCGCGTGCCAGGTCTCCAAAAAAGGATATCCTGTAGACATGTTATTTTATTCAGATCGGACGCTTGTTAATCCGCTTAAGACGATCACAGTTAATAACAGTTTTTCGACGAATATTAGTCAAATAGGTCACGATTACTCGCGTTTTTTTCCCGTGCAACCCTAATGTGTTTATTTTGCAATCAAATAATAATCAATCGTATATCAATTGCTTCTACGGCACGTGATAGTTTATTGAAACAGTCGGCAATCGTACCGATGTGACCGTACGGTCGTAAACTGTTCGCGGTAAACGCACTCGGTACTCGTCGTGGTATTTATTTACTTGGCTGTTGACAGAGCTACTTTGTAAAACTAACAATCGCTAGTCATTTTGTAGCCGTCTGTATATTTTTACTATTTTTGAAATTTTATAGTCCAAACGAGGTTTATCGTCTGGTTTATAACCTCTGCGAGGTGGATTTCTTCGCATAAATTATCGTTCTCACCCATAAAAAATAATATCGCATAGCAATTACTACGTGATGTATATGTATTGTTTTTTATCCGTTCGGTCTTGTTTACACTCGGCCTGCTACTCGAGTGGAGTATGTGGTCGCCTGTCGTTTTTTTCGCAAACCGTTAGGGAAGAAAACACGCGGCCGCGCTCCGGGTGGTTTTCCTTCCGTTCACACTAACGAAACCGGTACACAACAATATTACACTGTTGTTATTATTATAAACAAACCAACGGCGTATGAGCGAACAAACACTGCCGTGTAACAACATAAACGCGCGGGTATGATACACGTAGTCATTGAACCGGTAACCGGAACACGGCCGGCCCTGGGGATGTGGCGAAACTCACCGCCCGTCGATGGAGCACCGGGAAGGCGGCCAACATCTCTGGTGTCCCGCCGAGACGTGTTTTTCTAGTTATTTCATTGTTGCGTTTTTTTTTTCAGTTAGGCAACGTTGCCCCTTGGGAGCGGTCGACACTCGATAATGTACCGACGCGATGACGATCCAGCGGTGACGCTTCGAAATTCGTTTGCCCCTACGTATGTCCGCCCCGTTAACGACCACGCCCATACTGCATAGGTGCGAATAGAGATCCGGCGGTTCGCACCTTCTACTCAAAAACCCTCTTGTACGATGGACACACGCTGTGTGACCACCTTTATGTCAGGCGTACCGGTCGCGGTACCGCATAATAATAAACGGGTCACGACAGTTGTAACATATTTAATAAAATAACTATAACCCATTGCAGTGTATTATAACGTAGGAGGAGATCATTGTTACGGTTCTAAACAATATACGCTGTGCGCGTAATAGGCGCTACCTCCGATATTTGACGTCAATGACGGTGTGAGTAATTTGGGGCGTGAATTTGTGCCGCCGACGGCTTCGATTCTGCGTTCCGTTAATGAAACGCATGTCATGGGCTAAACTAACCAAATGGTTTATTGACGAATTGTACATTTTTGCAGGTTACATGGTATCCGCCGGTGCGGTCGATGTCAGGCGGCCATATCGCCAACAGATCTAGTGATGCGCGCTCGAGATACAGTTTTTCACGTGTCGTGCTTTAGCTGTGTCGTTTGCATGACTGTTCTGACCAAAGGCGACCACTTTGGCATGCGCGATGGCGCCGTGTTCTGCCAACACCATTATCAACAACTCGAACCGCCGACGCTGGTGCCTCTACGGACCATCTCATCCATACCGACGCCGTCCCAATCGCCGTATCCATCATCCAACAGAGGCCTGGGGCCAGACGCCGCTGGTACGGCGGTCGGTGGATTTTTCAACGGAGGTGTCGGCAACGGCTCTGGCGTAGCTGTGGGCGCAACTGTGGCGTCCACGCAGCCCCGGCAAAAGGGTCGGCCGAGAAAGCGCAAACCAAAAGACCTGGACGCCATAACCGCCAATTTGGGTAAATATTGTGTCAATTATTATAAGGTTTTCGAAATGGAAATCTATCAACAGTAAACATTTAGTTGTGACGTCCCTAATTGAAACACGTCGGTCTTTTCTTTTAGTTTTCTTAGGTGCCTTCTCTTATTTCCAGTAGAAACACGTACTTTCTCAGAGTTGAATAAATACATTTTTTTCTCAACGATAAAAAAAAAAATTTAACGACTTTTATTGTGTTATGTTATGCTATATAATTTTGACGTTCTTCTCATGATTTCCATTTAATTTTGAGTTTTATTACCCCGTCGTTAGAGCTGAGTATCGTAATTTCATGTATTTAGAATTTGATTTCCCGTGAGAATGATAATACGCGACCAAGTGTTAATAAAAAAATGTTAACAATTATTACGGAACCAACTCCGACATATTATATCGGTTTAAACGATGCACGTGTTTCTTATTGACTTATGCGGTCGGGACAAACAGAACAGAGAGAATCAATAGCGTACGAAATAAATTCACTGGTATTTGTCGGTCTACTATATCTGTTTACTTTCGTTTTTAATGGTGTCGATCTGGTGATTGGCCAGAAAGATCGCGTGTGCTTATATAAAAAATAACTGTGCGCATAATCAGCCAGTGTGATATTGATGCGTGGGACCAGAGACGTGAAATGTCTTCATCGGCTGCGGAGCTTTCACCGGAGGCTGCGTTTGAGTGCATCGTGAGAAAACCCAGTAGCTCTAACCAGGTAAACGGCTTAGTGCAAAGCCGCCGTATGAGTTTCCCAACTATCTCTTGTGAATGGGCCGTGATTATATTCGTTAGGCGTATTCCTTCCGCGTCAAAAATCACCTTATTTACATGTTAACCGTTCTGAACTCGTAATCGACGGCCATGTGTTATACTAAATCAAAACTCGTATTGATCTTTCCGCTATTTTCATAGACGCGAGAAGATTTAAATTAACGAAAATTGATTTGTTTTGAGTTTTTTTTAGTCACAAAGTTTGTAATATACTCACGACAGTCGCGGAAAAGATGACGCGATATGCGCACGTTGGTATAATGTCTGACGTCCAGGCCGGTTTGTGTATACCGGACAAACGGCATGTTTGTCCGGTTTTTTCTTTTTTTTAATCGGTTAAACTCATTTTGAACGCGATGGATTTCGACAAACTTATCGGGTTCGATAAAAAAACTAAATAAAAATGTAAAACAAATCTGAAGTATACGGCAGAGAAATATAAGTGTATTGCTTTTGGTTTGATTCCCACAGTCGTCGCTTCTATATCGGATTAGTATGTAATAATAAATCGAGTGACCCGCTGACAGGTCGATGGCCACCGGATAATAACAACAGTCGATAGTGGAATATATACATATATATATATATATTATGTATAAAAAAACACACGCTGTCGGCAGATATTTTATCTCTTTTTGACTTGCGTGTCTCCTGTGCCGCCGACGTTTAACGCGCAATGATCGATCACGACATTTCGCGTGCTGTACTGCGTATATAGTCCGTATGTAAAACTAAAGTATTGCACCACCAGGAGGACCTCCCGCGAGAACCCTACAGCACCCCCCCTCCCCTCCACCAAACGTGTCAATCAGATAGCGCTTAATCCGCTTGTCCGCGTGTACTTTTGCTCGTATGTAGATTTGTTGTTATATACTCTCTACCAGACACCAAAAGCCAACGACCACTGTGGAAAAAATCGTGGGAATTTGCGGATACCGTTGGAACGAAGGTCAAGTTTAACGGAAAATTATATTTCTTACGCAAACGTATTTTCGAGTGTTTTTTAATACATAATTCAGGAACAAGTTAAAAGTCGTACGCGGCGTAAGTGTTAAGCACATGGGTGTCCATTTGGGGGGCAATGAGTGACATTGCCTGGAAAATAAAACTAATATTGTTATAAGTTGTGTTTTTAAATTTTAAAATATATATTATTGAGTTTTTACATTACAAGGAATTTCCTAGTACATTTTCCCCTGAGATATATTTAAAATTATTATTATTTGATGACAAAAATTACTTTATTGCTACGATTCGTGCCTGAATAAAGTTTAGTAAAATTAAAGTATCCATACTAATGGTATAACTTGTTGATTGACGTTTTTTCGTCTTATCGTTTTCTATAATCAATCATCTATGCCTGATTCCGAGGTAAAGTATTGATGTATCCGGTGGCCGGGTAGCACCCACGGAGTCGTACCGTCGAAGCGTGAAGGTGAATAGTTGTCTGACTTTTATTACAAAGATTAGATTTTTTTATTTTGTTTTGCTGACTACCTATCGGTTTTGTTGTCCTTACCACGCCGACCGAGTAGTAGTAACGACGGCATAGGTAGTTCTGGTCTGTGGTCATGCGGTCAGGTTTTTATGCCGGTGAACCGTTTCCTAAAACGCTTCCCAAACCGTGATAGCGGTGTAACAATTTTTATGTGGAGGCGCGGGGATGGTATGCGCGTGCTTTTGCGGTTGCGGTTAACTCGATATCGCCGGTTTAAAAAACAAATAAACGAGCGAGCTACAATCAGAGCATACAAACTGCAGCAAAAAGCTTCGGAGAGAAATCGGACCCGACCTCGTGTGAGCCTCGAACTTGAAAATTCTGAAAAAAAATCTCGGTGTGGACACTCGAACGAAAATTGTACTCGAGTAACTTATTGTAAATATCACAGCGTGTGTAATCGATTAACCGACGCGCTGCTCGATTAAAAAAAAAAACAAACTGTTCAGGCCGAACGATGCGAACAAATGAACCGCACGAGCGAGCCCTATCGATGTCTCGTTCTCGTCATACTAGTTAAACTCCCGACTTGAGTATACGCGCTTGTGTGTATACCGGCGAATACACTTGTGTCGTCATTCTTTGTGGGACTGATGGCGCTCAAGTCGAACCGACGGGTTTACGGATCGTGGGAACTAATTTAAGGTACTCTGTATAAATAAACAATCATAAATGTATTTTTGAAATCGTGGCATTTATTCGACCGCGAAACTGTCTTCATCGATCTCACGTGTCTTCGCGGCAAACTGAGTTCTCCAAGTCCAAATTAATCCACAAACACCACCGCAGACAACTAGAGGCAGTGCGACGTTTGCGGTTGCTGACGAATCCATCGCTGACCATTAATTGGATCGTTTGTACATCAATCGATTCCATTTGTATCGTTTATTATCGATTTGGTACGCGAGTGGTTTTATAGATTTAGGGGTATAAACCCGACAGGGTTTGTTTGTGAATCACTTTTTCTGAATGAATCGTCTCGCCAGATGATACACGTGCGCCTGTGGTAATCTCAGCGCTTCCGTAGATCGACCGGTCTAATCGGTCGTGTCATTAATATGCCCTCGGGATTTTATTGATATTTGTCTTTGACCACAACGGCGTCTGATATAATATCGTAAAATAGAGTTGCTTTGCACCTTAAATATAACATTACGTCAAAAAAGAAGCGCATAGTACATAGTTTGTAGGGAGTAGAGGCCATAATTTGCAATTGCGCAGTTATCACACATTAGGCCTAGTGAATTTACATAAAAAAATTTCTCAGTTCGCTACAAACACACTATTCTTTATTCCGGTACAACGTTATATTTGAGGTGCAAAGCGATCATGTGTTTGCGTTAACCCGCAACGTTTGGACGTACGATAATCATACATTTTTTATTCGACAAATAACGTATGACATAATAGTTTGATACGACCAGAACCGATGGACCAGGGCGAGTCTAATAAGCGAATTTCGTTTGTATAACTATTTCGCGGAACGGATGAGTTTTTTTAACTGTAACAGTGACTTGATTTGTAAAAACACAACTTTTATTAATTTGTACCAGAATCATTCCAGTAAACGTTATCGCTTGGAGGTAACGAGAACTAATATAGTTACTATGCTTTCACTACACAAGTCTTATATCGATGCACATAATCGATTATGAGATATCATTCCGAAGGCTGAGGGTCATACACATTGACTGACATTGTCAGAACCGCAGATTTTCAACGCGCGTTCTCCAGAGCTGAACGTCCTCGTAAGGTCGCTTTTGCGGTTGTCATTTGAACACTTTCCAAAAATAACCTATTATTTTATGTTATAAAGAAAGCGTCTCATTTAGTATTAACATTACCTCGAAATCACTTTTGAGACGATAAATAAAAGTAAAAACCCAAGACTTGCCATGGGTTATCCGCTGATGAACTCTAGTCGAGTTATTATTTTTTTTATCAGCCAGGTGAGTCGTATCTGACCTGCCATACCTTAAACCTTTGCACAGAATTTATAAACTACAATAATAAATATTATCAGCTAAGTTCAATCAGTCGAGCACATTTATTGAACCGACGAATAAATATTTTACTTTTATCTAATCTCGTGGCGTAAAAGTCCGGTTCGCTGACATCAAAACACAACGTTGCTTTTTGATTGCACCGAGTACGCAGATTAAAAATATAATCCCAAGCAAACATTATTGTACTCTATGGAAGAACTTTCGATAACCTTACACATTGAGTTTTGAAGTCTCGGTGTTACGGTTGAGTATTGTTTGATTTGGAAACGTAGAGTATCATGCGGTCGTCATATTTTCTCACAATTCAAAATCAAATAGACAAAAAAAACAATATTATAGGAACCCTTATTTTTATGTAATAGGGGGCGGTAATAGAGTAAAACAGTCAGTTAACGCACCCCTGCTGTCGTCGGCCGACGGTCCGTAACCGAATATCCCACGCGAGAATTTCTATGGATAAAAAAAAACTTAACCAAACAATAACAAACGCTTTTCCATTACCGAGTAAAACCATTGAATGTGTTCGATAACCCTTGAAATTGTTCCTGTGGTGATAATTGTCGTGTACTACAACGAATTTGGGCATTTGTAATTTGCACCAAAATGAAAATATGTAATTTTCATCAATGTAGATAGCCAAGAATTTTAAATATAATGTGCACGAAAATTGGGATGTGTAATTTGGACCATCCCAATTAGACGAAAATGAAATCTGTGATTTTCACCAAAATTAAAATCGATTACTTTTTGAATAGTACGCGAATACTTGAATAATTACCACGAAAACGCGAATTTTTCGTTTTAGACTACATTTTTTATACACATTTTTATACATCATAATAATGAGAACGACCTTTGCTACCAAAAATCCAAATTATTATAGTAACGTGGAATTTGTTTGAGAAGAATTTCCGGAATCGTTGCATATTATTACATTGTTTGCTGATGAATGTGTGTTATGTTCTGAATAAATGTAGTTTTTAGTAAAATATATATCATTAGACGACGAAAGAACAATTAAGTATTTTAAATTCGCTACTTTTTTTTTAATGCAGAATTGTACGTATTGAAATGAAAAATCAGAAGCAATAAAATTCATCCAGACGTGAAGGTCGTTCTGTACCACAAGATAACATCAATGTTTTATATTACTATTGTCAATACAATGCTTAAAAAAAAAACAATATGGTATTCTGACATTTTTGTTGGTTACACAAAAATAACTAAAAACAACAACCTACCTACTTGAATAAATTAAAAATATAAAGTATTCAATTTGTGACGACCAGACTTTTTTCCAACGAAATAATAATCTCGACGATTCTTATTCAAAACAGCTAATTCTTAAATATATATTTAAAAAGTCCAGAATAACAAAATTAACCTTGTATTAAATACTATTTAACATTTAAGATTTATCAAAACTAAATATTTTAGTATTCACTTATATCATTATTTTATCCATTTTTGTATTATAGGCTTGATTTTATAGTTTTCGTTTTAAAATTCTAAGTGTATTATATAATTTGTTATTAAAAAATTTCTTATGATAAATTATTGAAAATTATTAAAATAAACCTAAAAATATGTAAGATTTAATTATTAGAGAGATGAATATTTAGCTATTGATAAATAATTTTAACTGTGTTGTTTTCAAATTAATGAACATAATACTTATAAAATAATTAAATTTTTTTTTTTGAAAAAGGGTGTATATTTAGATCATTTGGGTTGTGCTTTGGTACGTAACTTAATAACATTGTAGTATATTATTATAGATGCTTTTAATAAACAATTAATGTTCGCCATTATTCGAAGTTACTATATCTTATAATACTTCAACGACTTTAGAAACAATTAGTAATGCTAACGTTTTAATTTTTTATTTGTTAAAGATATGAACTCCAGTGATTCATACAACATGGAAATGACTTTCGGTCCAAACGGTTTGACTTCAGGTACAGGTGGAACTGGAGGTTCTGGACATCAGAGAACTAAAAGAATGCGTACGTCTTTCAAGCACCACCAACTCCGTACTATGAAGTCATACTTTCATCATAACCATAACCCTGACGCTAAAGATCTCAAACAACTATCTCAAAAAACTGGCCTACCCAAACGAGTGTTACAGGTAAACATTTTATTTTTTCATTCTAATAGAATATTTACTAAATTATGTTTAAGAAAAATAAATATATATTAAGTAATTTCAACATTGAAAACATCAGGATGCTTGTCTCATAGTTGTACTAATTCAAAGTTAGTTTTGGTCCGAGTTCAATCAAAGTGAACAGTGTGATAAAAATAACAAACACGCTTTTATCCGAACATAATTATTAGTCGAGCAAGGAGATATTATAGTGTAGACATGGGGAGGGGATTTGGCTCTAGTGAAAAAAGCGTTTGGAGACAAGTGATTTATAATTTATATGGGATGGTAGCGCATATATTATAACTCTTCCGAACGCATATTTCGTCCTTGGGCCACCGAATGAACGTAAAAAACACACAAAGACGCAGTAATAAAACGAAAAATCAAAAGAGTGTTATGTACTCGCCGTTCGCGTACTTGGGTCGAGTTATTTATGCCCTTTGGGTTTCGACCACCGCCGCATAGTGCACATGTAATAACGTTATGTACAAGCGCAAGTAGAGCTTGGAGACGATTTATGGTATTCGCGTGCTCCGACCCATTCGAATGCCTTTTGCCGCGAAGAGACAACGATGACAGCTGCCCACCATTTGGTATTTGCATGTAATACACCCGAGAGGGTCATATTTTTTACCTGCACTACTACTACTCTGACGGGTTTCACGGGGATAATGTAATATTGTGCGTATCATTTGTGAATTGTTTACTTTGTCGAACCGCCCGACTGTGAATAATTATATTCCAACTACGGCATTGTTTGTGTTCCATTGGTAGATGTTTCTGTCATTGAAGAGAATGGTTAAGACAGCCCCTTATCCCCCCAAAAAATGCCAACGTAGCAAAATTTTATGCTTTGCATTTTAGCAGCTAAAAGAAACAAGGGAAAAACTTTACTCAAATGAGATTAAAACTAATTCAGCAAAAAAAAAATCTTAATAACTGAAAATTAATTAACTACACGCCGGCGAACATTTTACTCGACGTAATAAATTATTTGACTACTTTGTAAATAAAGTGTTAAGTGGATTATTGTGTGCCTTGTAACTGAGGTGATAAATTATCTCGTTTTTAATACCAAAAAAAAATAAAAATATTGAATTTAAAAATAATTTCATTTGTTTTATTGAGCATTTATAGATTTATAAGCATATATAATAAGTTAACAACATATTTTAATAATATATTCATTGAAATAATCGCTTGTTTACATAATCGTATTTTTTTTTCAATCGAAAAACCACTTTATGTAATATTCACATCAAATTCAATTAATTGTTAAACGCAAAAAAATAATCAAATAATATATATATATATATATATATATATAGCTTTTTCAAATGAAACATAATTTTTTATAGCTGTTTGTATACATTAATAAGATACAACTCGTGTACTCGGTGTATAAACTGAGTAATAAATTCATTGTACTATATTTATAAAAATTTATGATGTCGTATACGGCCGTCATTAGAATTTATATTTAGAGGAGGCTCGTTAAATCATCAAGAAGGATAGTGAAGACTAAAAAAAATGCAGAAATCCCCTATGAGTGTCATTTTGTAGCGTTGCTGTGCAAATATTATTTTTATTATAACAAATATTCATAAATTGGCGCGTTTCCCGAGTCGAAGAAGGAGATTTTTAGAGCCGCCAACCGATTTAGATGCGACGGCGTCGGTATTTCAAAGACTACTTTTTCGCTCAGTCTTTATTGCATTAGTTTCATGTTATAAATGTTTTGTTCGCCGACATAAATCATATGTAAGGCGACAAGTGCGTTTTACTTTGAATGGAATTGGCCAGTAATTGAGAAACGGCGCTTCAGATAATATTCCCACGAAAGCTGTTTCATTTACAACCGTTACATCTATTTTTTCTTCATCACACAATACCGTTCAGTTCCAAGTCGATTGGTAACTTGCTACAAACGGCATCAACACATCATTGTGTATTATTTTATTGGCATTATTGTTGGCAACGGTAATTTTTTCTTCGTTTAAGTCGCTAATGGTCTTTGTGAATCGCGGCAGTATTTTCACCCTTCCTACGGTGCGAATGCGCACACGAGGAGAGCACACAAACACAATAGGTTACGCGAAGATGAGATGTCGACGATGATAGTAACAATATGAAGAAATATTGCGTTACACTATTCGCGTTGTGCCCGTCGCCAATGGAACTGGTTTGGCGCAATGTCCGGTAAAGAAAAATGGCAGGTGCTCTGCCGCGTATCTCGGGCAAACAGAGGAGGAAACTATAGCTCGTGTACGTGGGGGCAAAATGATCAACTCGGGGGGGAAACAACAAGGAAGGAAAAATCGATTTATCAATGTTTCTATTCAAAACAATGAAACAATCCGTTCGCCGGCGGCGGCCATATCCAGCTTTCCTGCAGAAGCAACAGCTCTTCTTCCACGACTCTATGACATACAGTTTGAAAAAGAGAGCGTACAATAACAATGAGCACGCGGGAATGAAAAAGGAGTAGACTGTTTAAATAGAAAAAAAAAAACTTGTTTGACCGTTTAACATTCTATTCGCGAGACTTTGAGTTCACCTGCGATACTTTTTTTATTTTTTTACTCGGTTCGCATTTCTTACTTTTCCGCGAGGTATTATTATTGCTTGACAATTTTTTATCACTTTCCTCCCTCTACGTCCGTCCAGCCTGATGTTGCGATATGGTTTTTTTCTATCTGCTATGCCAATCGTCCGCCGGCAATATGTTTGTAGATAGGTCGGCGCTTTTGATGCCTTCACAACCGCATCCGTTCTCATGTACGTGTATTATTATCGAGGATTTCACATGATGGCACGTAATTTGTCACAACCTTGTTCTGTGGGATGCAACAAAAAATGCGCCGACAGTGTGACCAATGCCGTGTTGGAATTGAAGTAAAAACAAAATGGAAACTATTGTAAATTTTTGATAAAAGTCGAAATCGAGCAAGTTCAGCGCGGTGTACCGAGTACACCGAGTTCTCGTGAAAAGAGGGTGTTGTTATTTTTTTTTTACTAATCTGTTCAAAACCCCGTTAGCTTATCGAACCGGTTATCTATACTTACGGTTGGGTCGGGTCGCATCGAAGTGCGGATTTCAAAACGATTGGCGGATGTTAAATATGCGAAAAACGTCGTTTTATTTTGCATCCGTTATACGCACGGCGCTAAACCAATTAAAAATGATTATATACTCCAGTTGCAGTTGTTTGTTGCCCATAAGTAATTACTTTGGTCGACTCGGTAATTCAATTGTGCGCTGCATGCGTTTAATTTTTACACTGTTGACCGCCCAGCAGAAAGAAAGAGGTACTTTTTTATGTTCGTATGTGCATAGATAATAATTAAGACGGCGTCTTCGTTACTAATTTTCACTGGCCCGAAGTCAACCGTGAGAACGCATAACACGTATCGCTAACCGATTAAAGTGTCAACGTGATGAGCTCGAGTGTAAGTTTTTTAACGGCTGATGTCGGTGCAGTTCGCTGCGACCAATCCAATAATATAATAAATTGTATTCTTACGACTTGAACGTGACTTTGTCGTCTTAAAAATACTAAATTCAAACAGACGCTGTTCGTTGTTCAGGAAGTGTACGCGTTAAAGATCCGACAAAACCCTCAAAGGCTCGTGTGTTAGATATTTTGGATAATTAAACTTTATGTTGTACACCAGAGACGTGCGGTGCAATTATAAAAACCGACCACACTACCGGCAAACTCAGGGGAGGGGGGCGCTATTTTTGTCACTCCGACAAGCTGTCAGACGAAAAGAGACCGCTGGCGATAGGTCCTCGGCAATTAGGCGTATCGTTTGACAGTTCGAGCTGGTCGCGTATTATTATTCTCGTACACACCTAAATGATATTATTACTATTTTTTATTATTGTTGTCGTCTTGATGTTACGCCGTTACAAAACTGTGTGTACACTACCAGAGCGACGACTCAAACGAGTTCTATTAATTAGCGCAGACACGATCGACGGCCGTGACGCACATCACGCCCTATCTGCTTTGCCGTATCCATTCTCGGGCCGCGTGCTGTACACATAAAATGCACAGACAACTTGGAGTACACGCGTTTTTTTTTTTGTATTTAAATCTTTATGAAAGTTATTCGTTCATAAGAGATAATCGTATTTATGTTGCTGCTGTTCGAATGACACCCAATTTCTATATTATGATAAATCGACCTAATGAGAGCGGAAAACGGTCGAGAAGAAAGTTACTATTCGCATTTCAGACTGCGCGATTTGAATAGCAATCATTCTTAATTTATTTTCCAAATTATTTCAAATATTATAATTTTAATAAGAAAATCGAACAATTGAAAAATGATTCCGTATTGTACCCGTTCATTATAAACACACCCGACGTTGCAAGTGTTTTTCTATTCGTGTCAAAAAAATATATAGTTGTTCGACCCAACGCCGGTTTTAATTATTACTGAAATGTTATTTTCAAACGTTTTGATTACGCGCTGATCAGTACTTACCAACTGTATTTCGTAAATTTCAACAGGAAATATTAAATTACATTGACTATCACGTTGCCGTACTAAGCTGAACCAGCTTTGGTCCGCGTAAATAATTATTATTCAAATATCTCAACGGGGTCGTCAGAGTTTATCGGATTGCTCCACGTAGTGTTGGGTACCGTGAAATATCAAATGGCAATAACTGATATTATTTTAATTGTTGATCTTTGGTCGTATCACGTTGCTGTATAATGCGCTCAACAGTGTGCAGCGCGTTCGATTTAAGTGTACCGGAAAGATTTCCCTTTCAGATTCTAATGGAACACCGTCGGGCGTTGGCTCGTTAAAAATAGTCACTAATTACCGAATTCTTATGTACACCGATAACGCACACTGTAACGATAACCTCCTGTTTTTCTTAAAAAAAATAAGAAGAATTGTAATCGTTTCTGTGTATATTTTTTTGCCGTACCGCCCTCGAGAAAAAAGTCCTGTCGGCCGGTTGGCAGACTTCCCGAGAAGAACCACCCGGCCGACCGCTTCACAAGATTGATGGGACCTCTACTAATCTACGCGAAAACAAAGGGATTGTTTATTTTGGACACGTGAGCGTTGAATAACAAATTGTCTTTCTCGCCGGTCTTGGACCATTTATCGTCGCGGGCTTTTATAATTTTCGTTATGCGCGTGTTTATCTCGTTGTCAGTGATTATTTACAACGTCGTACTGAGCCGGTCGACATCGACTTGGGAACGCGCACCGTGTCGATTCGGTTTAGTCGCCCGAAAAAACCTTTTTCCGGATCGCCCGGGCGACTTAATTTATGATTAGATGCAGTGTACGAGGTCACGCGTCGTTTTTCCACTTGCACGCTAAAAAACGCTGTTTGCAGGTTTTATGTATTTTACTGTTGTGCGCATGTGCATCCTGTCTGTGTAATAAGCTTCAAGATGAACACCAGTTTCACTAGACACGACTAAAAAAGTAATTTTAAAGACACTGTTCTTTCATAAATAACCACCAACTTAATTAGTAGGTATCAAAGATTATATTATATGACTAAAAAGTAATTCATTCAATTTGTTCAACAAAAAATTACCATAGACGAGGCCGGAATATACTTCACTGATCTACTTTTCTTAACTACCGTAATTCTATGTCGATGTGGGGAGTGGGAAGTCTGCGAACTTCTCTTAAACGTGTCACTATATTTCGTCGGTATTATATTTAATAAAACAATTTTCATGTATCTATTTGTAGAAAGATAAATTATTATCCGATTTATCTAAAATTTGGAGCCCACGGTACCTGCCTTGTTTGTCTAGGCTGAAATACGGTCTCGACCATAGACTCGAATAGACACATTTTTTATTAGATTCGTAAAGCGCAAACATTTCTTCCATTGCAGCCGGTCAGCCAGAATTATGTTAACCATAATTTTCAGTATTCGTACGAATCATCAACAATACACTTTTAAAATAGAATAAGTTATACCTTCGAGTTTATCAGTTCTTTGTTAACACGTTTTATTTACAATTATTAGGTATACAATTATTTAGATGAATACAAGCGATTATTTACCTTAGTAAATAATTCAGTGACTAGATTGTGTTTTGAAATGCACACGCCACTGGTGATATTTAAAAATATCGAACACGCATCGTATTTAACGTCGGTGTTACAGTAAATTACATAGAAAAATCATTATTTATTAAAACGAATAGTGATTTTTATTATTTAAAAATGTCGACTTGTTAAATTATTGATTCAGATTTGTATTTTCAACTTTTGTTTTACGATAAAAATTATTGCTCAACAAATCTAACTGTTTTGTCGAACTGTCTGTTTCAGGTATGGTTCCAAAACGCTCGCGCCAAGTACAGGCGGACGTCATCGAAACAAGATGGTTTAGGGAACGGTCAACTGTCTGCACCGTCGTCCATTAAACCGGATAAAAGCTGCTCCGAAAGCTCTAATGGATCAACGGGCATAGAAGCAGTTATGTACCACCAGCAACAACAGCACGGGTCTATTCAGATGAGCAGTCCCCATAGCTACATAAGTACTTCATCGCCAATGGAATGTGGGTCTTAAGAATACTGTCCTGTTATAGATTACTTTGAGGAGCCAACGGCAAACAAATAGAAAAATAGGAACGCTAGAGCCAGTTTTTATGTGCAATATTTTCGAAATATATTTAAGTCGTTGTTTATTTAATTTAATTAAATATTTATATTGTTGAGAGTATGTAAAATATCAAGTTTTGAAAATTGAATAACCTATTAGTTTTTAGATGAAAATAGTTCAAGAATAAATATATGAATGTATTTTTAAACGTGTATAGATTTTTATTCAATAGATAAAATGAACTTTGTGTACAGAATATTATGAAGGTTGTAAAATAAACTCTTACTATGTTCTTACTTCTTTTGTGTCTATACTTATAGAAATATAATACTTGTGTAAAATGTGTACATTTCTCGAATAAACAATTGTGGTGACATTTTCTTGATACAATCAACATTTTTTTAATTTTATTTTAAACATTTATTCTTTGAAAATATTTCTCGTGTTATGATTTTAAAATTCAAGTGTCAGATCAGATTTCAGCTCGAAAGTCAGTGGACTATTAACAAAAGAAAGTGCGGTTTTTGGTTAAACTGTTTTGGAAGAGTTAACGCGCACGATGGACAACCGTACAAATGTTGTTCGTTATTAAGCTCGAGTGCTTGACTAACAGTCAATATGTGAACAAGTTGAAAAATGCAACTGACCGAGAATGGACTGGAATACCCTCTTCTAGGGTAGATCATTTTTCTGCTATAATTACGCGTATGTACATGCATTTGATACGCACAAAGCGTAGGCATGCAGACGCATACATAATATTTTTTTATTTATCTACTGGAAGTCGGCGCACGAATAACACACACACACACACACATCGTACCGTAGGATCGACCATGGCGGTAGAATCACGTTTTTTCTTACCCTGTGGCGCACACTATTTTTTTACTTGCGGTTCATTCTATGCAAATGTCCGGGCGACGTGGTCATACGGCCAACGTTTGTATGCGCATTATACATACAAGCCGTACACATAAGTAGGTGTATCTGCATTGGACCGAGGGCGAAGGAGAGAAGGTGCTCGTTCACGACCTCAACTTTGCGCCTGTTTGGATAGTTTTTTATTTTCTTTGCTGTCCCCCGCGACAATAGCGACTAAAAAAATAATTCTTCCTCGGACGTATTATTAAAGGCATTTAACGTACGCACAATGCACGTGGAGAGCGCATAGGTTGTGTGGAACAGGCCGCGCACAACAGAATCGGGCGGCCATAATATTATACGCTCACAGTGACAACGCGGTGCCGGCGAACAGCGAACGACCTGTGCGCGCGGAGATGATACGCACCGATTATAACATGCAACGCGCACAGACACATTACAATACATAATATTATTCCATTATTGTTTGTCGCCATTGTTTTATCCTCTACTGCTTTCACGGTGTGTGTGTGTGTGTGTGTGTGTGTGTGAGCGCCTATTCTTGTTGCCCTTCGATGGGCACACCTACTTCGCGTATGTCCCGTCCGCGACGAATTTTTCCGTAACGACCTCTGTTTCTATAGATTTCGCATAATATTTTTTTTGTTTATGCCGCGGACGTTTCTATTACACGTGAGCGCGTGTCGTCCATTCAAAACTATACTGGCCGGTCGTGAGAACAGTGAAAATTCGGGAGGCGCCTCCACTGCAATAACAGAAAAATTCTCCATCTATTTCGATAAACAAACTCATTTAGATTATATTTCCTCGTATTAGTTTACAGTTGAAGTCGTTACAGAATTTTACCGTTTCGTAGTTCACAATAGTTTGGTTGAAAATTTACTTATTGTGCAATGAAAACCGCAATAGAAAAACTGTCCATACAAAGCTCGGTGACGATTTGTTTAAAAATTATTTCCCAGTATTTTTTTAAACACCTTAAACATTTATTTTATAAATAACAATTTGTCATCATCATACGTCTAGAGACAAATTTCTAGAAGATCTAATAGATTTAATTAGTTTTTCTTTGTTATTTGTATCTGAATGAACGCGGTGGTATTCACGCGGGTTCGTTTTATTTTGTCTTGAGTCTTTGGCTATGTCGAGGATAAATAATAAGATGAGTGGACTGTATGAATGAATTTTACAATATATAATTATAGCAATTAAATGTATTATACATGAATCATAAAAACTTATATACACCAATGTGGGTAGGGGGACACTAATGCCACAATGACGCTGATATAAACAAATAATAAATGTGAGTAAGTCTTAAAAGGAAGATGAACAAGCATTATACTTATCGGCTAATTGAAACGGCTGATGATAATGTTGAATATTGAAAGGATCAATTTAAGTCGAATGCAAGTAGCTGACCAACGTGTACAATATGCTGTGAACGGTACTGTGATGTATCTCAGAAAATATATAGACCTAACGGCGATATACTGAGCTCACAAGGGCGCGACAATCGCAAATGTGATATTTTTCTTTTGTAACAAAACTACTGGCTTGCAATCGCCATAGAGCTTATAGCTAAAAAAACGCTAAGATGTCGGCGGCAATGCAGACATAGAGAGAAGACCGACAACTCGATGTAGCACAACGATAGCATAAATAATCGTAACACAATTACTCGACAGCATATTGATGTGTATACAACAGTAATATTGAATGGTTTTCGACGAAAATCGGAAAAATTGTAAATGTATTTTATATACGAGTGGTTAATTTATCACACTTTGTATGTAGTAAAATTCATGACTTTTATTTATGGAATACAAAACGCTTTAGGATTATAAACTATGACGGTCGACTCGTTAAAAAATCATAGTAGCAGATTATAACAAGAAAAATAGTCGATTAATGAATTAAGTAAAATGTAATCTCTAAGCAAATTTATCGCAAGGTTAATTTCTTATGATTAGGACTTTTGGAAAAAGATCTCATATGTATAAATGAAAAAGAACCTTAGCTTGAAAATATCTTATCCATAGAAATTTTTCGGAATATAGCATAAATGATCGTTTACGTTATGAAAAACATATTATATTATTTGATTACTTCAAAATGTTTAATCTTAGTAAATATCGAATGAAGTCTGTATTAATTATGAATGACAAACATTACGTAAAAAGTGTGTCGTCGGGTTTTATGACATTTCAATAACGTTTTAGTTTTATGGCAAACTGATTAGTAATACAATTCTGATAAAATGTTACATTCATAAAAAGTTTGGTTGGTTTTATTAACCGAATTTAAATAGGTGGAAGTTCTCAATTTATCAAGTTGTGATTAAAATAGTAATTATTTACTTTTTCGTAGTTTAACTAATTATAATACGATACTTGTTCCTAACAAAAGTAGTTGCCCTTGAGCAATTTCAATCGTTGTTGTGAGTATATTTACATTCGAATATGCATACTGTTATCACTTCTTGTGGGTTTCTACAGTTTACTGTTAATTTCAATGAAACATATGTTAACAGAAAAAATATTCAGAAAATTACACAGACTTTTGTGTTCTATTGTATAATAAACGGTAAAACTCGCATAAAAATCCTTCATTAGAGTTTACTTTTTAGCTTCGATGCGAAGCGGAGAAGGTATTAATTTTACTTAATGTGTTTTTTTTTTATGTCTGTTGCCACTTTTTCTCAGCTCTCACTAGACCGATTTCTTTCAAAAATACGTCAAAAGATCACAAATCGTATCTAGTTGGAGACATTACCCTTAAANTATTTGATATCATTTTTTTGAAAATCTAACACTTAACCTGCTCATTGGGGGAGATTTAAAATAGCAACTTTTTTACAAAAACTAACTTTTTCAACTGAACTTTTGAAAATGTTCCGGAAATACTGCGTCCTTTAAACATATATCAAACTAAAGCTTTTTTTATGTACTATAAAATGAAAAAAAAAAATTTGTCCCGACGACCTATCTTCTATGCGCAAATGGCTACCATATTCAAAAAATGCTATTTTAACAAATTTTTTTTTTTTAATTAAACACTATCTACAGATTTGCATCGAAGCGTTTTTTATGATAGTGATTTTTATCACTGTCAGATATCATATATACTGGACCCAACTATGCCACGACCCCACTGTGCCGCCATCCTACTGTGCTGGGTTTTTTTTTTTTAATTTCCCATAATTTTAATTTACTGATTAGTGTATAGACGTCATTAAACTGGGTTTGAACATTTGATAGGCTTTAAATGGTCTTAGCAACTGATTAAGAATCGTCGGTCGACTCTCACTTGTAAATTTTCATTCATCGCAAATAGATTCGGAAAATACGATAATGCCAAACTAAAATGGATTTAAAAAAAAGTATCATATTATAACAAGTTTCATGTAGGCTATATAACTGACTTAATTACAAAACATAATTTGAAAAAGATAAGCTCTTGACAATATGTTTGTATGAGTTGGTTACACTCATTGGCGCAATCATAAAATAATTTCGGAGGAGGTGGTATTTTTCTTTTGTTAGGTCGCCAAAAATTGTTTAATCTGCATCGATATTTAAGAAAACTCGAATGAGCAAAAAAATAACGGCATGTTGCGACTAAAAAATTTGAACATCGCTAAACATTTTAGGGGGGAGTTAAACCCCCGGTGGCTTCTCTGCCTACAATTTTATTAAGCCAAATAAACGGAATCGGTCACATATAAGTGTGTCATAATAATTATCTATAAATCCTTCATGAATATAAATTTTTGTAATTAGTTTTGGATGTCCAAATGATTTTAACGTTTTAATAAAAACGTGAAAGGTGAATGTGTTTTAGGCAATAAACAGTTATACATCATATATCGCGATAATTGGCAAGATTTATGACTCGTCTCTTTTGGGAATATAAATTTCTGCTGACTGAAGTCGCAAGGGGAGTGAAAATTGATTACGTATGTGTTTGTCGAACAAGAATCGGCTAAAAACGGTTAACTGAAAGCCTACCAAACGCTAAACAAACTTTATTGCAACGTACACACATCAGTTTAAAAGCTTAAACATGACGCCAATCAGAACTATTTGCTAACAGATATGACATGACATGTGTCAGATAAAGCGGATTATATGTTATTCACGAAATACTACTTGATACGTCCACATATGTCCAGACCAAATTAATTGCCGAATAAAAAATCTGAAATACTTACAACTTAAAATCTATTTCCGTTTAAACTTTATTTGTAACAACTTTTCTCTTTTAAGATTAAATCATAAATTAAATGTTACAACCAAGTTAAGAAGAAANGTGTGTCATAATAATTATCTATAAATCCTTCATGAATATAAATTTTTGTAATTAGTTTTGGATGTCCAAATGATTTTAACGTTTTAATAAAAACGTGAAAGGTGAATGTGTTTTAGGCAATAAACAGTTATACATCATATATCGCGATAATTGGCAAGATTTATGACTCGTCTCTTTTGGGAATATAAATTTCTGCT